CGAGAAGAAGTGGGGGATCTTATATGACAAGGTGCTCTGTCAACGTGTCGCACATAATCGAACCTTCAGACCTTCTCGTCCCTGGTGTTGCGCGACAGGATCGCTTCCCAGGCCGAGCAAGCAAATGCCAAGCTAGCAACTTGTGACGAGGTCGGCTGTGACACGAGGCTCTGTGACGACCACCCTTCGGGTGATAAGGAGCTTGTGGGGGGGGGGCGGGAGGGGAAAGAACCAACTGATGGCAACTGCGATGACTGTGATGATGGGGCCCTCGAGTTGGCGAGGACGCGTGGTCACGATGCTCCGTCGCGATGTGGTCCGACTATCGCTCCTCAGATCTGCCTCCTCTACCTCCTTCGTGTAGCGAAGTGTCTGCCCCCGCCGATCTCACCACCGATCTCACCAAGATACATCACAGGACATCGACGGGACACCGACGGGACACCCGCGGGACACCGACGGGACACCAATGGATCTCACTATCGATCTCATTATCGATCCTTCAATGAATCTCACTATCGATCTCACGATCGCTCTTAGCTTAATACTGATCTCACGGTCGGTCTCACCACGGGACACCGACGGGACACCGCCGGGGCACCGACGGGACACCGACGGGACACTGCGGCGGGACATCGACGGGACACCAACGGGACACTGACGGGACCCCGATGGGACACCGCGGCGGGATACCGATGGGACACCGACGGGACCCCGATGGGACACCGACGGGACACCGACGGGACACCGACGGGACTCCGACGGGACAATGCGGCGGGACACCGCGGACATCGACGGGACATCGAGGTGGGGGGGGGCCCCCGGTGGGGCGTACAACCGGCTCCACAGCCCCTGGCCACGGCGGCATCATTCCTCTCGCGCGCCCACGCAGCTTCGCCTCGCCCGCACGCACGACACGAACACGACACCGAAACCGACTTCCCGGTGGGGGGCCCCCCCTCTCCACTGCGATCCCACCCCCCAACCTCCGATCCTCGTGATTCAAAAGTCAAGCCTGGATCAGTCTTCCTCGACGACGGCGACGACGATGCGCCGACGCCGACGAACACGGCGACGGCGACGGCGACGCCGACAACGCCGACGCCGACGCCGACGCCCACGCCGCGGCTGGCGACGACGCCGGCGACGGCTGCCAGAGCCGGCGGCGCCGGCGTGCAGAGACGCGTCGCGGCGCGGCGCCTCCAGCCTCCGCGTTGGCCCCAGCCTGCCGATTCGCTCGCCGCCGCCGGCGTCGCCGTCCTCGTCGCCGCCGTCGCGTCCTCGTCGCCGTCGCCCTCGTGGCCGTCGTCGTCGTCGTCGCGTCCTCGTCGTCATCGTCGCTGCGTCGTTACGTCCTCGTCGCCGTCGTCGTGACCTCGTCGTCGTCGTCGTCGTCGTCGTCGTCGTCGTCTCTCGCCGCCGCGTCGTGGTCGCCGACAGCCGCGTCGTGTTCGCGGTGTCGTCGTCGCGTCGTCGTCGTCGTCGTCGCCGCCGCCGCCGCCGCCGTCGTCGAAGTCGTCGTCGTCGTCGCCGCCGCCGCCGCCGCCGCCGCCGCCGTCGTCGTCGTCGTCGTCGTCGTCGTCGTCGTCGTCGTCGTCGTCGTCGTCGTCGTCGTCGTCGTCGTCGTCGTCGTCGTCGTCTCGTCCTCGTCGTCGCAGTCCATACCGAGCGGGCTGTGTCCAGATCATCATCGTCGCGTCCTCGTCGGCGTCTATGCCAAGCGGGCGGTGTCCAGGCCATCGCTGTCGCCGCCGCCCGCCTCGTCGAGGAAGTTCGACCGAGGCCCCGCCGTTCAACATTCGGGGGTCGAGATCTTAGAAGCTCTCTTCTGGGCCGCCCGCGGGGCCCTCGAGGACCTCTGGAGAGGTATCCTCGTCGTGGTCGCCGCCGCCGATACGCCGTCGACGTCGCCGGCGTCGCCGTCGTCGCTTGCCAAGGCTTTCCGGTGCTTTCGATACTTGGTGGACGTCTTCGGACCTCGGGAGGCTTGCAGAGGCTGGACGTTCTCGGACCTCTGGGGGCTTCCAGAGGCCTCCAGGGGCCTCAGAAAACTTCGGAAGACCTTTGAGACCTCCAGAGGGGTGGAGGATGGGGAGAGGGGGTGAGGGGAAAGAGGAGGAACAGGAGGGGAATGAGGACGACCGGAGGCAGTGGGAGGGGGAGAGAAAGGACCGGGGGGGGGGGAGGGGGAGGAGGACAGGGCGGAATGGGAGGAGTCGGGGGGGAGGAGGAGGAAGATGAGGAGAAACCCCATGGTGCGGGAGCCTACCATGTGCAAGTCTGTCACGTGGAACCCTATCGCGTAGGTTATTTGATCGCGACCCTGTCGTTTGGGTCTTTGTCGTGTGCGACCCTCTCGCGTGGAGGGCCGTATATCATGCGGGGCAACCCCAATGTGTGTGTGGCCCTACCGCGTGGAATCCTAGCGTGCGGGACCCTATCGCGTGGGTACCCTGTCGCGCGGGGGGTCTTATCGTGTGTGGGAGCAAACTCGTGCCGGACACTGTCGAGCGAGGCAGAGTCGCACGGGATTAGATCATGTGGGAACCCTTCGACTGTGACCCGATCGGGTGGCCCAATCGAGCGTGGGACCCGATCGTGTAGGGTATCACTGTCCTGGACCTCATCGTGAGAGACCCGAGCATGTTGGATCCGATCGCGTGCGACCATATCGTGTGTGGGACCCTTTCGTGTGCGACCCATCGTGTGAGACCATTTCGCGCGGGAGCCCTTCACGCCTGCCCCTGCCGCGCGTGAGACCCCAAAGTGTGGAGATCTATCGCGGAAGACGCCACCCCAATCTTGTGGTTCTCACTCGTGTGGGACGTCATCATGGGGGGGCCCTGTCGCGTGAGGAACCCCATCATGTGGGGGATCAGATCCACTGGGACCGCCTAATCTGAAACATGTGGGGCACTATCGTGCAGGACCCTATCCCATGGGACCCGCAGCGTTTGGAACCCTGTCGCATGGGGGGTCCTATCGGGTGTGGTGCCCTATCGCGTGGGGCCCTATTGACTTGGACCTGGGACCTGGGACCCTTTCGTGTGGGACCATGTCGCGTGGGACACGGCCATGCGGGATCCTACCGTGTGGGACCCTATCGCGTGTGGGATCCTATCGTGTAGGGCCCTTTCGTGTGGGGCACTATCGTGTGAGACACTATTGAGTGAGACCCAAACGATAGGGTTCCACCGTAGAGTTCAAGCGAGAACGTGACGAGAACCGCCCACAAAGTTACATTCCCACGATAGGGCCCAAGCGAAGGCGGGGCAAAAATCGCCGACAACATTCGAAATACGCCGACCCTGTCGGCGCGTGGACCCCCTGTCGGCGTGCGCTCAGTCGACGCATCCGTTGTCCTCTTTCCCTGCGTCTCCGTCGTCCCTTTTCCCTGCACCCTCCTCTCTAAGCCTGCCAGCGAGAGAAAACCGTAGCAACGTCGTACTCAAGTCGAAGGGAAGCCCCATTCCCTTTGATCCCTCCCCCGGGTGTCAGATACGCATCCGCCCCTGGGCGTCCCCGAGCCCCAAAAAGCGCCAAGACGCGCCAAGAGAGCCCCAATAAGAGGACCATTCGAGCTTTCCGCCCCAAGAAGCACCCGGAAGGCCCCAAGAGCCCCTCAAGGGGCCCGAAGATGCCCCCAAGAGACCCCCAAGAGGCCCCAACAGAGGCCCCAACAGGCCCGAAAATATCCAAGAGGCCTTTCAACCACAACCCCAGCAGGGTGGCGGGAAGGGCCGCAGGCCACAAGGCTCCCTGTCTGTCTCTGCTACGACTCCCTCGGCCCACATGGGGAACATCTCATTCGCCTTCTCCTGCTCCCTTTTACCTTAATCCCCCTCCTCCTCCTTCTCGTGTTCGTCGTCGTCGTCGTTCAGGGTCGGCGGCACCGGCAGTAAGGCCTTAGCAATAAGAAGAATACTACTATTACTAATAATAATAACAATAATAATAATGATAATAATAATAATCATCATCATCATCATCATCAGCAGCAGCAGCATCATTATCACCACCACCACCACCATCATCACCATCACCATCACCATCACCATCACCATCATCATCATCATCAGCATCATCATCATCATCATCATCATCATCATCATCATCATCAGCATCAGCATCAGCATCATCAGCATCATCATCGTCATCATCATCGCACTCAGCAACATCATCAGCATCATCATCAGCAACAGCATCATCAGCAGCATCACGGTCAGCATCATCATCAGTACCATCAATCATAATCATCATCATCATCATCATCATCATCATCATCATCATCATCATCATCATCATCATCATCATCATAATCACCATCATCATCACCATCAGCATCATCAGTATCATCATCATCATCACCATCACCATCACCATCACCATCACCATCACCATCACCATCATCATCATCATCATCATCATCATCATCATCATCACCGCAATCAGCAACATCATCAATCATCAACATCATCATCAGCATCAATCACCATCAGCATCATCAGCACCATCAATCATCATCATCAGAATCAGCTTCAGCAGCATCATCGTCATCAGCAGCATCATCATCAGAATCACCATCATCATCACCATCAGCATCACCACCATCACCACCACCACCAGCATCATCGTCATCAGCATCATCATCACCACCATCACCATCACCATCACCATCACCATTATCATCATCATCATCACCATCGTCACCATCCTCATCCGCATCCTGACCCTGGTCCTAACCCTCATCCGCATCATTATCCTCATCGCCATCATCACCATCATCATCAACATCATCACCATATCATCATCATCATCATCAGCATCATCATCATCAGCAGCATCATCAGCATCAGCATCATCAACAGCAACAGCAACAGCATCAGCATCAGCACCATCATCATCATCATCATCATCATCATCATCATCATCATCATCATCATCATCATCATCATTATCATCATCCGCATCCTCCTCCTCATCCTCATCCTCATCATCCTCATCATCCTCATCACCATCATCAGTATCAGCATCGCCATCGTCTTCATCCTATAAGTGTTTCTGCGAAGGAAAGTTCTTCATGTATGAGCGCGGCGATGATATGGTTGACTGAATGTGCGTTATTCCGCTGCTCGAGAGTGCAACAGCGTGAGTGACGATTGGCTGCCCCACTTCCGGACATATTAGCCCAACATGGCTGCAACCCATGTCGTCATGTACGACGTTCTAGCCCATACCTCGCCCTCACGACTTCCATGGAAGTCTCACTTCGTCTGGGGGTCGGCGGAATGGCGAAGCCTCTTGAATGACTGAATGGGGGAGGGAGGGGTGAAGGAGGAGAGAAGAGGTGAGGGAGCGGGGAAGGAAAGGATAGAGAGGCTAACGAAGGACAGGAGGCCACCAGGCAGTGACAGGCCAGACCCCTCGTCGGCACTTTTTCCCCCTGGGCCCCTGCGGGCATTAGCTTCTCCACCTCCGTCTCATATTCCTCATCCTCCTACTCATCTTCATTCTTCTCGTCCTCATCCATCTCCTCCTCGCGTTCGCCCCCCCCCTTTCCTGCTCCTGATCTGCACCTCCCGCGGAAGACCTCCCCGGCGGCCTTGGACCTCACCGTGCCGTCTGGAACCGCAGTCACCACCGACCCGTCAGTCGTGGCTTTAGCCTCGGTCAGAGCAAAAACGAGAAGGCGGCAGAGGGGCAAAATCAAAAAAGGCGGAGGAGGAGGATGGTTGGAGGAGGAGGCTTGGAGGAGGAGGAGAGGATGATGGTTGAGGAGGAGGAGGAGGAGGAGGACGAGGAGGCGAAGGAGGAGGAGGAGGAGGAGGAGGAGGAGGAGGAGAAGGAGAAGGAGGATGAGGATGACAATGGCTCTCTTTCTCTCTCTCTCTCTCTCGGAGTCCGGGGCCCGCACCCCCAAAGCTCATCCTCCAGCCCTCCGCCGCCAGACTCAGACTACGTACCACGCGGTGCCGAGCAAGGAGGAGGGGCGAGGGGCGAGGAGGAGGAGGAGGAGGAGGCGACCAGGGAGGATGAGGGGCGAGGGCGAGGGCGAGGAGGAGCGAGGAGGAGGAGGAGGAGGAGGAGGAGGAGGAGGAGGAGGAGGAGGAGGAGGAGGAGGAGGAGGAGGGAGGAGGAGGAGGAGGAGGGAGGAGGGGCGAGGGCGAGGAGGAGCGAGGAGGGGCGAGGAATGAGGAGCGAGGAGCGAGGAGGAGGAGGAGGCGGAGGAGCGAGAGCGAGGAGGCGAGGAGCGAGGAGGAGGAGGAGGAGGAGGAGCGAGGAGGAGGAGGAGGCGAGGAGCGAGGAGCGAGGAGGAGGAGGAGGAGGAGGAGGAGGAGGAGCGAGGAGGAGGAGGAGGAGGAGGAGGAGGAGGAGGAGGAGGAGGAGGAGGAGGAGGAGGAGGAGGAGCGAGGAGGACAATCAGTGGGATGCTTGCTTGCTTGCTTGCGGAGGAGGAGGAGGAGGAGGACAATCAGTGGGATACTTGCGCAACTAGCATGGGAGAATACACACCTACATAAAACATAGCATTCGGTGGTCCGCGCGGATGCCTTGGAACGGCGCTGGACACACTTCCCTGGCGCGCGGAGCACGTCAGGGGCGGCGCCAGCGGAGCCGCCACGGCGGGCCCAGCGCCGATCCAAGCAATCCACGCGGACCTCCAAACGAAGATGCATACGAATGCCTTGGCCTTCGAGAACGTCCACGCTGCCACCAGCCCGACCAATTTCGCTCGAGTGACTGGACGGGGGGGGCCGCGGGTAGTTAGAGCGTCCAAGATGGCCCAAGACGGCTCCAAGAGCGCCTCAGAGAACCCAAGATGAGCTCCAAGATGGCTCAAGATAGCGCAAGATCGCTCACGATGGCTCCTAAGATGGTTCCAAGAAGCCCAAAGACGGCCCCAAGATAACTCCAAGTGGCCAAACAGCTCCCCAAGGAGGCCCCGAAGAGGCCAAAATCGTCCCAAAACCTAAGGAAAATCAATGATTTTTGCTTTCTCGCCTTTTCGCTTCCGATGGCCATCCGAGGCCTGGAGATGGCTCCAAGATGGCCCAAGAGGGCCCCAAGAGAGCCCCAAAAGAGCCCCAAGACGGCCCCAAGAGCGCCCAAGAGCACTCCAAGAGCGTTCCAAGAGGGGTCCAAGAGGCGATTTTAGGGGCTTCCGAGGGGGGGCGCTAATTAAACCCCCCCTCTTGTTTGATCGACTCCCTCCAAGATGGCCCCAAAAGCGCCCCGAAGGCTCCCCAGAGCGCCTCAAGAGGGTCCCAAGAGGCGCCCAAGATGCCCCAAGGCGCCCAAAAAGCCCTCCAAGAGGCCCTCAAAAGACCCCCAAGAAGCTCCTTCCCCTCCTCCTCCTCCTCCTCCGATTCTTCCTCCTTCTCCGTTCTCCTCCTCCTCCTCCTCCTCCTCCTCTTCCCTCCTCCTCCTCCTCCTCCTCCTCCGACGACGACGACGACGACGACGACTCCTCTTCCATCCTCCCCCTCTCGGGGTCTGTGACAGCTTCCCCCGCCCTTTGTTATTCTGCATGCTCCCCGACTTCCCTGATCACCTTAACTCCCCTGAGCATCGTTTCTGGATGGGCTGGTGGGGATACGCGAAGCGTCAACAATTTCGCTCGAGTGACGGAAGGAAACGCGTCTTACTCAAAATGGCATAGCGACCGTACGCGGTGGCTTACGCGGGCCACCCGCGCGGCTCCACCGGAAACGAGGGCGCCTGCGCTCCATCTTGCGCAGGCCACTTGCGCGGGAATGCCGGCGGAGTCAAGCCCGTTCTATGCGTCGCTCGCTTGGGAAGACGGTACGGCCAAATCGAAGAACACTCGAGGGTACCCTCCCCCAGGATGCACAAGAGCGGTCCACCAACACGAAGAAGATTAGGGGGTTCGCACACTCCCCGAAGCGACCTCGATCTCATGCCTCGGTCCGACCGTATCGGCGGCAAGCAGGAGGAACACACAACGGCGGCCACGCATCGGGAGGTGGCAAGGACGGCCTGCTGTCAGTTCGCTGCTCACGAGGGTGTCGGGAGCGGCCAAGAGGGGGGTGTCCAAGAGGGGGGGGTGCAAATCATGGCCGGCGGCATGTGCGCAGCCCAGGGGGGGGCCAGGGATGTAATGAAACCAAAAGAGGCGCCATGAAATCTGGGGAAATATCATGGCCCACGCCATGATATCCCCCCCCCCCTAGTCATCACCCCCCTCTTTTCCGCCCCCGAAGGAAGGGAGGAAGGAGCGAGGGCCGGGGAGGGAGGGGCAGAGGGAGCGAGGGAGGGTCGAGGGAGGGAGGGGGCGAGGGAAGGGCAGGGAGGGAGGGGAGGGAGGGGGCGAGGGAGGGAGGGAGAAGGCAGGGAGGGAAGGGAGGGAGGGAAGGGAGGGAGGGAAGGGAGGGCGAGGGAAGGAGGAGGGGAGGAAGGGAGGGAGGTGCGGAGGGAGTGAGGGAGGGAGGATTGAGGGGGGGAAGTCTGAGGGCAGACGGCACAAGCGCACAGTGGCGACCACATGCATACCGCGAGGCGGCAAGGGCAGCAGCCTGCTAAGGTCCTCCTACTCCTGCACATCCTCAGCATCCTCGACGACCTGGGCATCAGGATCCTGCGCATTCTCCCAGTCTTCCCCCTTTGTTCTCATCCTCATCCTCATGCGTCTCGCTATCCTCCTCCTCCTCCTCCTCCTCCTCCTCCTCCTCCTCCTCCTCCTCCTCCTCCTCCTCCTCCTCTCCTCCTCCACCTTCTCCTTCTCTTTATCTACGTACATCCTCACTATTCCGTCTCGTGTCTCTTGTTCTGGCGTGCCACTCGGTTCTCTTTCTCGACTCGTTCCCCTCCTCCTCCTCCTCCTCCTCCTCGTCGTCGTCGTCCTCCTCCTCCTCGACACCTCCCCCTCTCAGCCTTGAATCTCACAGTGCCGTCCGGGAGCGTGGTAGTGACCAACCCGTCGTCTGAGGATGCAGCCTCGGCGGAGGGAAGAGGGGGATGAGGAGGAGGAGGAGGCCACTAGATACAGAGCCAGGATGGATTTCGAACCCGGTCAGGCTCCGATGCAAATCAAAAGAAGTGCCAATCCCCCCCAAACCTCCGTAAATCCCGCAGGCGCAGTCGAACTATCCATCAGCGGATCGACACCGACCTTGACAATGAACAAGAAGATAGCTACCCACACCAGCACTCCCCAGAGGGTGCCCTCCGGCCAGGATCCCGAGGCGAGCCCAGCCGTGGCGACGACAGCCCTCCAGGAGGCCGACGACGGCGACAACGAGGGCATGGCGTCGGCACCGGCCGGCAGTGCAGGCTCCCGTCTGGACGCCTGCGTCCGTTTCTAACATCGCGTAGACCGCTCAAGGTTGAAGGAGCGCGGCTGGCTCCCGTCTGGACGCCTGCGTCCGTTTCTAACATCGCGTAGACCGCTCAAGGTTGAAGGAGCGCGGCTTTCTGACAGCGCACGTCGTCCGGTGTCGGCCCATTCCGAGGCACCACCGGCGCTGCACCTCGAACCCCCGCGCTGCGCCAACACGGAACGAACCTGCTGGACGTGTGTCCTCCAGGAACGGATGCCCGTGCGACAGGCTCGCGTCATGTCGATGCCAGCGTTGATTCCCTGACCACCGCGGGGACCGTTCAACCTTGAACGATCGGCCGTGTCCGCAACGTCGGATCGTTCAACATCGACCGGTTCTGGGCCGCTTGGGGCGTTCAACACTGAACGCCAGCGGCGGGGTCGCCGCCGGTCGACACGGCGCGAACCTACTGCGCCATCACTCACCAGACCTCGCCCATCCCTGGGCGCGGCGCGCTCTGGCGAGGATCCCGAGCCGAGCCCGGCCGCGACGACGAGGACCCTTCGCGAGGCCCACCCACAAGATGCAAACGGGGAGCGCCCTTTCCCCGTGACCGGCACCGACACCGCTGCCGCCCTGATGTCGCCGCCCTTCCCCGCTTCCGATACAGATGCAAAAGCAAAAAACCACACACCGACAGCGATGCCCGATGCCGCATCTGCTCCCCTGGCCCGTGCCCAAGGCCTTCCGCTGCCCGTGGGCAGCGCAGGCGGCCAGGGGGGAGGGGAGGGGGAAGAGGCGCAAAACCTCGCCGCGTCCGCCGCTGTCGTCGTCGTCGTCAGCGATAGCGTCAAAATCAACGTCAGGATCAGCCCCAACGATAGTCGCAGCCTCCTCCTCCTCCTGACTCCTCCTCCTCCCTCCTCCCTCCTCCTCCTCCTCCCTCCTCCTCCTCCTCCGTAGCCATTTTGGCTCAAGATGCTTTGTTCCCGAAGGGACCAAACGGATACCGCTAGTCCGCGGCAGACTTTCACGAGAGCGGCCTGTCAGCCCAGGTCAGGACCGCCTGCCCAGTGCAGGCCGCCCGCGACGGCGGCATGGAAAAGGATGCGACGGTCCTCTTTGGCCCCCGCAAGCCAGTGTGGGCGTGCTCATGCGGGCGGGCGGCCAACTGGGCCAGCAGAGTGCAGTGTTTGTGCGTGTGTGCGTGTGCGTGCGTGCGTGCGTGCGTGCGTGCGTGCGTGCGTGCGTGCGTGCGTGCGTGCGTGCGTGCGTGCGTGCGTGCGTGCGTGCGTGCGTGCGTGCGTGCGTGCGTGCGTGCGTGCGTGCGTGCGTGTGTGTGCGTGTGTGTGTGTGTGTGTGTGTGTGTGTGTGTGTGTGTGTGTGTGTGTGTGTGTGTGTGTGTGTGTGTGTGTGTGTGTGTGTGTGTGTGTGTGTGTGTGTGTGTGTGTGTGTGCGTGCGTGCGTGCGTGCGTGCGTGTGTGTGTGTGTGTGTGTGTGTGCGTGAAGGCGGCGCCGCAGCGAGTTGTCAAGGCAGCACGCATCGCCCACGCTGCAGCAATCAAAGACAAGGGAGATGGGCGTGGCAGCAAGAGCAAGGGCAAGGGTAGCGAAGCCTCTGCAGTTGCGCAGCTGCCCGCCAAGGTTGACAAGCTCATGGCAGCGATTGAGAAGAACTCAGTCTGGGAGGTACGAGCGAAGGAGGGCCGCGCCAGTGGCCTGCGTCCGCCCCTTTCACGCACTCCGTGTGAGGAGCGTGGACCTGACGCCATGGAGACGGATGGTGAAGGACAGTCGGCTGAGCGTGAGCAAAGTTCCAGGACTTTCACGCAGATGGCCGACAGGATCGACAAGCTGCACAAGAGCTTGGCCTCGCTCGGTGACGATCCATCGCTGGCCGAGCTGCGGAAGACAATGCAGCAGAACCTGAATGAGGCGAAGAATGCACGCAAGGCAATGCTACCGCCGCAGACGGTGCATAGGCGTGCGCAGCAGGCTTTGGAGAAGGCCAAGAACCAGCACCGCAAGATGCAGGAGGAGCTGGATGAGAAGCAGCGCCAGCTCGAGGCGATGCACGCGCCTCTGGCAGCGAGGCGAGAGGCCCTCGAGGCTAAGCGGCTGGAGGTGGAGGCACTCAATGAGGAGTGCACGCGAAGTGCCGAAGCGCTGGCACCGCCGCGGCCTGCGGCGTGCCCAGCTGATGTCGGCGTCAAGCTCGAGTTTGAGGAGGACCAGCTCGAACCTTAGGTGCGGGACTTCATCAAGTCAGATACTTGGGCCAAGCTACGGGAGCATATTCAGAAGGCATTTGCCAAATCACCTGCTGCTGATGGGGCTGCTGCTGCTGCTGCTCGCGAAGGTGGTGATGATGCAGGGGCGCATGCTGCTGAGGAGCCAGGCCTCATGCTGTCTGAGAGCCAGGAGCGAGCCTTGTTCCAGCAAGCAGAAGGCAATGCAGAAGGCAATGTTGAAGCTTTACTGCAGGCGTTCTCTAGCATCGAGGAGCAGCAGTGGAAGAAGCAGCGGCAGGGGTAGCACTGTGATGGACGATTGCCTTGCCGATGTGGATGGCTACGCCGGCGGCGAGGATTTCGTGCCATGCGGGGGTGGGGGGGGGGGGGGGGGGGGCAGGCCCGAAGCGCCCATACGGGTGGTGCTCAATGTCCTGAAAGCGTCGGGGCGTCGCGCCCCCCCCCCCCAAGAGCAGTTCGGATGCAGTCTCTGGAGTTGTGATGATGGACGATTGCCCTGCCGACGAGGATGGCTACGCCGACGGCGAAGATTTCGTGCCATGCAGGGGGGGACAGACCCGAAGCGCCCATACGGGTGGTGCCCAGTGCCCTGAAAGCGTCGGAGCGTCGCGTCCCCCCCAAGAGCAGTACGGCCAGAACAGCTGGAGTTGCGATCAGAGTTTGTGGATTGGCTGAGAGAGGTCATGCGCGGCCTGTGGGAGCAGATGCTACTGCTCAAGAAGTGGTGCGCACGATAGAAGCCTCCAACGCGAGTGGTGGCAAGCACACACTCAAGAGCCGATTGCAAGTGACTACAGCTGAGATCCTTTGGCCCAGGAGATCGGGCACTTATCATATCAGATCGAGGCCCTGACTTCATTGGCACGCGGACGAGGATGGCGAATGATGGCGTTGGCAAGCTATTCCACTGCTGGAGTGCTACCAGGAGCAGGTGTAGCAGTATTCGTTCGTGACGGACATGGGCTGCGACCGCCTGCTGTTGGCACTATGCAAGTATGGGAGCATCGCATTCAGCATGTGGCTGTGGATCTCGCGAGTTGGCCAGTTGAGCTGCACATGTTCAACCTTTATTTGCTCACAGGGGTAGGGGCTGCTGGAAAAAACGCACAGTTGCTTGCAAGAGTTGGTACGATTGCGAATAGCTTGGACAGGCAAGTTACCATTGCAGGTGACTGGAATTTCCCGCCAGGTGAGCTGAACGCTTCCAATTTCCCTACCCTGAGCGGCGCGATCATTCGCCCATCAAAGGCAGTTGCGTGCCGTGGTGGTGCTGGCAACACAATCATTGACTACTTCGCGATGAACACTGCAGCGAATCGGGCTTTCTCTGGCGTTCGTGCAGATATGTCGTGGTCCAAGCGACCTCACCGGCCTGTAGTGCTGTACCTCAAGGCAACGGCGGCGAGCATGCGGAAGTTGGCCTACTCTGCAGTACCGTCCTTAGGCAAGAAGGAGATATTTGGGCCTCAGCCAGCGCCGCCATGTTGGCGCGTTGCTAAGACAGTGACTGATGCTGCAAGTCGTGCCTGCTGTGATGAGAATGTTGGGGCGATGACAGGATGGTGCCTTCTATCGAGAGCGTGGACTCTATTTGCTTCTCCGGCTGCAAGACAGATTGGCGGTGTTGCTAGCAGTTCCACGATGAACTACGGTGCTTTTGGCAAGCCATTACAGGCGAGATGGGTTGCGATTGAGTACACGATGAAGGGCCATGGTGACGCCAAAGATGTAGCAGATGGTTGGCGGTGGCTCACACACGCTATCAAACATATCGCTCAGATGCAACGTGCAGTGGCCAATGATAGCAGCATGATGTTGCGAGTTGCTGAAGGGGTGGCAGCGATGTCCACGTCTGAGTACCCAGGACAGGGATTAGATGCCAGACTTGACCAGGCCGTCAATGAAGCGAGAAGCTTTATGGATGTGGCTATCGATCCTGATATTGGTGACAGTTTTGCACAGCACATTGCGGGAGATCTTGGGCTAGCAGAGCGAGGTGAATCGCGACATGTTGCCCAAGAGTGGACGGGGTGGTGTGCCACTGCGACGGCGGGGGGAGCTCGCATACTGCACAAAACGACGAAGTACAAGTCGGAGTACGTGGCGACAGTGGTACCCACCGAGAGAGGCTTGTCAGCACACCCGCATGATGCGCTGGCCCATGAGGTTGAAGTTTACCGACGTGTATGGCAGAGTGCGAAGGGGCCTGCTGAGGCTTGGGTTCCCGACAGAAGACATTCTCCACCCATGACGGTGGACCAGCTGCGTGCGGTTGCGCTTTCTTGTCCAGAGACGACGTCGGCCTCAGTTTACGGCCGACACCCTCGCCACTTTGCAATGTTGGATGATTGCGCCTTGGAAATGCTAGCTAGCCTGTTCACATGTTCTGAAGCGCTTGGTCTTCCCCCACGGCAGCTCGCGTGGGTGGTGACATCTTTGATCCCGAAAGGGAAGTCAGAAAGACATCGGTTGATAGTACTGTATGCAGGCTTCTACCGTGTGCGGCAGAGGGCTAGGCGTGGTGCACTGGATCAGTTGCAGGTGGCGCTGGACAGACCCTACTGGGGAGCAGGGCGAGGACGCAGCGCGCTCGACTGTGCATGGATCCAGGCTGCGGAGGCTGAAGCAGACCCTGCCACCTCGCGACATGGCGTTACCATCGTTGCCGACTACAGCAAGTACGATGAGGAGATCCGACTGCCACGGCCCAGAGATCAGTACAGTGCTAAGGGTGCGCCAACAGGTTACGTCAAGCTGGCCTACAACATGCGGCGTGCCCCGCGGATCCTCAGGTTGCAAGGGCATCGCAGTGAGCCGATTCTTTTTCCAGATATCGGACTCCCTGCAGGTGGCGCGCGCGGTGACATCTCGATCAAAATTTGGGCTGTTGATGAGTTTGATTGGCTAGTTGAGCGTCATGTCTGGATGACTTTTCGGAGTTGCACCGACGATAGCAGTATGAGGTTATCCAGCAGCAGTCCCGAAGTTTTGGCGCACTTGGCGGCTCGTGCATACCGTGACTTTGTTGGGGCCTCTGAAATGATAGAAGCCACCATCAATGACAAGCTGGTCGCGGTTGGCAGCTCTCATTCTTTGGCCGGAAAAGTTGCGACATCTGCTGGGCTGCCACAAGGGGTGGCCAAGCATAATGCGGTGCATGTTGGCACTGGCATCAGTGAGGGCAGGCGTCGCAGTGCCGTGGGCGCCAGTGAGCAGAGCCAAAAGCGCGGGTTGAAAGTGATACGACGTCTGCGTAAACTTCGACGGTTCCGCAAAGCTATTGCTGGTGTGGACAAGGCCCAGGCGCGCGGGAAGATCGTCAAAGTTGGAATCAATCTTGAAGCATGTTGTGGCGCAGAGGTTGCTGGCATGGATGATGTAAAATGGCGGAAACTACGGGCTGCCCATGCGCGCAGCAAGCTACCTGCACATGGAGGGGTCAGCGCGACGGCCAAGGTGGTGCTCAACGGCGACTCTTCGGCGAAGCTTGCGGTCGCACCTGCAGTGCAATGGCGCCGCGTGCTGCGGGTTGCCAGCACCAGTCCCCGCGCCATGATCAGTGCACAGCGGCTCCTGCAGCTGCGGGAGGAAGTCCGACCAGAGAGTGGTACTGAGCTGCGTTGGGCTAACAGCAGAGGGCCCATACGTCGAGCCGCGCTGGCGACGCAGCGAGCAGGCTGGGCAGTGACGTCGGCGACGAGGTGGACTGATCATCGGGGTTGCGTGGTGGCCATCGGTCAGAAATCGCCAGGCTTGCTTAGTCAGTTGCTGAATGCAGGCATACAGCGCAAGCATGAGATAGCACTAGCAGCGAAAACGAGTGAGCCTCGCGCGAGCCTCGATGAGCCCATTACGACGCGAGCTTCCTTTGATTTCATCAAGCGGGTGATTAGCCCAGCGAGCAAGCGATACAGTAAGCATCAGTAATTCCTGGTCAGTTGATGTGCCTGTGATGGTGTTTGGGCGCGAAGTCGCGCGAAGATAGCTGGCTACGTGACGGATGGTCTTTGCGAGTGCGGGCGCGGAGATGCCATCAAACACCGCCCGTATGAGTGCCAGCTAGCAGCAGTAGCAGCAGCACGAGAGGAAGCGGATATACCTGCAAGTTTTGTGCAGACAGCCATCGGGTCCGATGGTCCGATCTTCACTCGTGGTTTGTGCTTGTACAATGAATATGATATTCCTCCCCCTTCCTGCTCCACTGAGGTTCTGTTGGGGGATGGGGGCGGGAACTCTCTCGACATTCAGCCCGAAGAATTAGCAGGCCTGTCTGATTCCCCAGCGCTCGAGCTTGCAGTTCACGGCTCCTGTTACAGGCCAGGATTGCGAGAGCTCGAGCGAGCGACCTGGTCCCTGGTTGTACAGGCACCAGGTGACCAGATTGTCGGGGTCATGAAAGGAGTAGTGCCAGGTCATCTGCCTCAGACTCCCAGCGTTGCCGAGAATGTAGCCTTGAGTATCACAGCTCAGATTGTTGACAAAGCATGCTCGGTTGGAGCTGACTGCATGAGTGCTACCAGGCAGTTTGACAATGCTGTTGATAGGCAGATGAAAGCTTCTAATGTTCTTGGTTTTGCTCACAAGTTTGTTCATCCCCTGCCGGGACGCAAGCATGTGACGGCCTTTCATGTCAAAGCCAAAAAAGTATGCAGGTAATTGACGAATTAGATGAAGCTGAAAAGCGCCTGGTTCTGGCCAACTGTCGTGCCGATCGAGAAGCGAAGAATGCTGCTCGCCTTCACCCTGCTCCTAGCCCCTCCTTCCTCAATGGTCTTGAGTTGGCAGAGGAGCGAACATTCAACTTTGCCAAGGTTGTGGCTGCGGTGCTGCCCCTCTTTGGAGATACAGGGGCCCAGCGCTGGCGGCGACCTCTGACATGCGGGAAGAGAGCGAGGCAGGCGGTGAGGATTGGGTGGCACGACTGGGTGTGGGGCGAGCTGGGATGGCAATGAGTGCAGTGCTTCTGCGTCGGTTCCCAGGTAGGAAACCTGCCGATGACAGGCTGCCAGGGGACTCCCAAGTTGTTAGAGCAGTTCACCCTCCAGGATTTTGGGCATAGGCTGGTTGCAGTTTCAGGAACCAGGCTTGCATCAGCGCGAGCCACCTCTGATCTCCAGCGGGCCCAACGCCTGTGTGTTAAATGTGGTGGCTGGGGCCAAGAGAAGGCCATCAAACTCAAGAAAGAATGCAGGCCTCCAACGCGAACAGGGGGCGAGGTTCTTTCTAGATTCAGACGGGGTTTTGCTCCCAACCCCAGAGTCAAAGCGGCTCTGGACGCAGCAGTCCCTGCCAGTAGTGTCAACGTGTGTGTCACGTCCAGGCGCCAGGCCCAGGCTACGCAGGTGGTCAATGGCCTAAGCGCCAGGGCGGAGTACGGCTGTGAGCAGCGGATGGAGGCGCTGTACGACAGAGTACGGCACCGAGAGCTAGGCACGCGGCCGCCTGCCGCTGCCGAGGCTCCCCCGATCCGTGATGAGGAGGAGGCGGGGCGTCGTCGGCGTCGTCGCGAGGTGGGGGAGGAGGTGTTGCTCCGCCGACGGCGGCACCAGGTGCAGGCCGAGGAGGACGAGGCTCCTCCGGCCCCCCTTCCTGCCTCCTAGCTTGTCTTGTTTTTCGGCCCATGGCCATTCGACCTCGACTCGATCGTCAGGCGGCGTCCTATCCTATCGTATCCTCCACCTCCCTCGATCCCTCCTCCTCGTTCCCTCCTCCTCCTCCTCCCTCCTCCCTCCTCCTCCTCCCTCCTCCTCCTCCCTCCCTCCTCCTCCTCTCCTCCTCCTCCTCCCTCCTCCCTCCTCCTCCTCCTCCTCCTCCTCCTCCTCCTCCTCCTCCTCCTCCTCCTCCTCCTCCTCCTCCTCCCTCCTCCTCCTCCTCCTCCTCCTCCTCCTCCTCCTCCTCCTCCTCTCCTCCTTCTCCTCCTCCTCCTCTCCTCCTCCTCCTCCTCCTCCTCCTCCTCCTCTTGTGTTTATTATTATTATTCTGATCCGTATTATTGTTGTTATTCGTATTAACCTTACTAATACCATTATTCTTATACTTATCCATATTCTTATTAGTATTATTATTATTATTAGTATAATCGTTCGTCTTCTTATGATTCGTCTTATTATCAGAATTCGTCATATTCCTCTTATTAATCGTCTTCTCATGTTTCGTCGCATTCGCATTCTTAGTCTTAGCATTATTATTCTTAGTATTATCGTTATTCTTCATATACTTATTCTCATTATTGTTAGCAGTATTCATATTATTATGTTTCTTCTGATTCTACTTCCTCCTCCTCCTCCTCCTCATCCTCCTCCGCCTCCTTCCTACTCCTCCTCCACCTCCCCCTCCCCCTCCCCCTCCCTCCCTCCCTCCCTCCTTCCCTCCTTCCCTCCGTCCCTCCGTCGCGCATGACAGCTCCCCGCCGCGCGTGCCATCTGCCGTATTGCCCCGCCCACACGCCCCCTCGCAATGCCGCCACGCACCTGCTCATGCTCAGCAGCCGCTGCCCAGCCGAGCGCCTGAGATGCATAACCCCAAACACCGCCAAAAACGTCTCAGCGACGCGGCGGACGACATCCGTCCCAAATCAGCACGTAAACGCGGAACGCTCAGCGCCGCCGCGAGGCCGCCTCCCTGGCGGAACCGGCAATACTCGCAACCTTCGTGATGGGACGAGAGGGGCGGTTCCAACGCACCCGCGCCCGCCCGTCCGCCTTGTTCGATGGCGGTTCCGGGAGGACTGTGCTCCCGTAGTGTCGGGCATAGGCTTTCCCGCCCTCCCGAAAAGCAGCTCCGGGCACAGCGCGCGGCCTTGCTCGGCCGGCTGCAGAGGGGATCTGGCAATAGCGACGTCGATCAGGAAACGCCAGCTTCTGCGAAGCCACCACGTGGCGGGGTCCACGAAGCGTTCGTGGATGCCTCCGTCCTCGTCGACGTGTTTCAGTTCTGGGATGGCGACCTGCAGCTCCACGGCCGCCCCAGAGGACTTCAAGCCCTCGGTCAACACTGCTGCGACGGCCGCGTGGCACCGCAACTAGCCAGCCCTTGCGCGGCTGACAGTGGAGTGATGCCGGTGGAAATCGAGCGGCTCGCCGCACGGTTCGCCATCGCCAGCACTGAGCGTTGCGCAGGTCATGCCAGCGCGCGGCGTCGGAAGAACTCCAGGTCGCCTTCTGGTACCGGGGGCCTACTGCGCCAGCGGTGGGCCACCAACGTGGATGCCACTTCCTGGCGAGCTTCCCCACTGCGCCGAGCGGGGCCCAGCGGTGAAGGTAGAGTGCACGAGCTTGTTTGCTCGAGCACGCCCGGGCCGACGCGCGCCCTGGTCGTCGCAAGAGGGCGCCTCTCAGCACGATTCCACAGGGCCCCGCGCGGCTCCAAGACGAACCCCGAAGGGGCCCCAAGAAGCACGAATCGTCAAAATCCCAAGGGACAACGCATGTTCTGAGCATATTTGCATTTGGGGTCTCAACAGTGTCCAGCACGGCTCAAGATGCTCCCAAGATCTTCCAAGACGACTCAAGAAGCCCCCAAGAGGGCCCCAAGACGGCCGAAGATGGCCCCAAGACGGCCCAAGAGGCGCCCTAGATGGCCCAAGAGGCGCCCAAGATGGCCAAACTGAAAAGCATTCGAGGGCACCCTCCCCCAGGATGCGCAAGAGCATCCAACAAACACGAAGACCAGTAAGGTACCCTCCCCGAGCCGACCTTGATCTTGTACCTCGGTCCGACCGCAGCCAAGCATGGCTCTCGCCATCGCAGTCAGCAAAACACTCTCTAGAGAGCAGAAAAGCAATGCGAGCGGGCATTTGTGTTTGCAGCGCAGGTGCCATCGGCGATTAAGCACAGTGGACCAGACGCTGCCGGTGCCAGGGCCACCACCCTCCAGCACGCACGCCTGCCTGTCAGTGGGGCCCCATGGCGGCGTGCAGCTCTGTCGCTGCCAAGGCGCCCAGGCCGCGCAAGACGCTCCCGCACATGTGGCTACGCTGCGGATGCGGCAGGCGCACTGCCTCAGTGCCCGTCGCCAGCTCCCGCGCAGCGCGTGTGCTGGTGTCGCAGGTGTTGTTGTCGCTGTACCAAGGGCCATTCTCGCATTTGCCCTGGGGCTCGACGGCGAAAGCGGGCACGCCGGTCCGGACATCAATGCCGGCTGTTCGGAAGGCGTCGGCACCTCGCAGGCTGCCTGGCTCTCCGCCTCGCCGCTGCGGCGCAGTGAGCCCTGCCGAGCGGCGCGGAGAGATCAGCGGCAGCCTGCGCGTGCGCCGTGTGCGTCGCGAGGAACGCCGCGGCCGCACGCTCTCGTGCAAGCAGCCCGAGTTTGAGCCCTCCGAGAGCCCCGGGCAAGCGCGCTTGGGCACGCGCGTGCTCTTTCCAGGGGAGTGGTGGTGAGCGTCTCCAGGGCCTGGAGCGTCTCCAGGCTCCCTCCCTCCCTCCCTCCCTCCTCCTCCGTCCGAGGGGGGGAGGGAGGCGCGCGGGGGGGGGGCCTCGCCCGCTGCCGCTGGCTCGGCCTCCGAGTCGGCCACGGAGATGGAGCTCTGGACGACCTGCAGAGGGCGGGGGGGGGCCACGGAGAGGGGGGGGGGGCCGAGGGGGGGGGGGCCGAGGGGGGAGGGGGCCGGGGAGGGGGGGGGGGGGCGCGGAGTAGCGATCCATGGATTTGCCACGCCGTCGCCAGATCCATGGATCGGGGCCACCCGGGGGCGCCGTCGCCAGATCCATGGATCGATGGCGGCGGCGCGCGGGGCCACCCGCCCAAAATCGGGGGCGCACAAACATGGAGTAGCGATCAATGGATTTGCCGCGCCGTCGCCAGATCCATGGATCGGGGGAGGTGCCCTCCCCAAAATGCGGCCGGCGCCGCCTCGCTCGGCGGGAATCCACGACTTCCCATGGAAGCGGGACCCGTCGCTGATCCACGCCGCCTTCATCCATGTTTGCGATCGCCTAACAAAAGCTGGGCTGGTGCCAGGGCCACGGCTGCAAGGGGGGCAGAAGGGGACGGGGGAACGAGAGCGGAGCGGAGCGGAGCGGAGCGGAGCGGAGCGGAGCGCAGCGCGCCAGAGTGCCCCAGGGTCGGGGCCTGGGAGGGCGGGCGCGAGCGAGCCCTGCCTGGCCGTGGCCGGGGCACGGGAACGGTGTAGGATGGGAGGGCGGAAGGAGGCGAGAGGGACGAGGAAGGAGGAGGAGGAGGAGGAGGAGGAGGAGGAGGAGGAGGAGGAGGAGGGGAGGAGGGAGGAGGAGGAAGCCAATCCTCAGCTCCTACACCCCCTCCTCCTCCTCCCTCCTCCTCCTCCTCCTCCTCCTCCTCCTCCTCCTCCTCCTCCTCCTCCTCCTCAGCATTGTCCTGCTTCCCAGCCCCATGGACCCATTCGTCGTTGACGTAGGCCTCCCAAGTGGTAACGTCGAACGGATAGCGCTTCTCCGTCGTCTCGGAGCAGACCCAACCGGAGGATGCCTCGGCGTCCTTGTCAGCCGTGTCGGTCACCCACCACCTTGAGGACGGGCAACTGCAGCAGCACAAGTGAAGCAGGAGGACGAGGAGCAGAAAGAGTAGCTCAGCACTGCAGCACGACGGGGTTGAAGATCTTGCCTCAATGCGAAAGGGATGTTTGATCTCGGTTTCGATGAGCTTCTGCGTCCCAGCTCCCACAGGAACATTCAAGAGAAATGGCACTCACCCCTCTTAGCAAAGCAATACACCTAGTTAACGGGACAGGATGGGAAGTGTGAATGCTATGTTGACCCTGATATCCAGAGCGGACGCCAAATTAGTTCGAAAGCTGGCACATCGAGCACGTAGAACAATTATGCTGAAAGAGCGATCATGTACATACAGCCGTGCAGCCAGCGAGCCTTCCATCCCATATGGGGATAACACCGAATGCCAATCATGCCAAACAGATCACGCCCCTCATCCCTGCGCGTTAGAGCACGCCCAAGTTGTCAAAGACGCTACATGTTGGACAGACGTGTTGAATACAACGGTAACTACAAAGTACGAATGTCGGCCAACTTTGACCTCCAATTGGGGCTTGCGGCGTACAAATACGGTCGTGAAATGCACGCAAGCAATCCGGTACCTCCTCCTACTCAGCCAACGCACGCGCAACGTACTCCATCCTACTATACCCTGCTCTACGCTACGCTACCTATATAGAAGACAAAACCAGGGCAGGGACAAAATCGGACAAGGCGAAATCGGGGACTCTGAGATCCCGCAGCTCTGGAGGATGTATCGGGCACATCGGCCGTTCCAAAGCGCCCTGAAGCGCTATGAGAGCGTTCCGGACGCTCTGGACTAACCAATCCCTGTCCCAGCCTCGCCCGACTGCTCCACTTGCCTGGACGGCGGGAGAAGCCGGACGCCGACTCTACTCACCCACGCTCACCCCGACGACGACGACGGCAATGACAACGACAACAACAACGACGACGACGACGACGACGACGACGACGACGACGACGACGACGACTGAGCCTGGCCAGGCCAGTCCTAGACCGAGGGTCGGCGCAGACGCCAGCCTGACCAGCATGGCGCCTCTCTCGCCATCGCTCGGAGGTCCGTTCCCCGTGCGCTTTTCGGCTTCGCGCGCGCATGCTTCACCGGGTGCGTCAAGATGCTCCTCGTCGTCGAGAAAGAATGCACGCGCGCGAGCGATGCCGAGCTCTGGGCCCGGCCCTGGCCTGGCCAGAGCCAGCGTACGACACGCTCGTGCCGCCACCTCTTTCGGCTGCGAGCGAGGGGGGCAAACGAGGAGGAGGTCTTCCCAGAAGGCGGCGGGGCTTCTCAGCAGTCCCTCCTCGCGGCGGGGAGATGAGAAGGAGAAGACCTTCTCTCGGAAGGCGGCGGGGCTTCTCAGAAGTCCCCCCGCGCGCCCTCTGAGGGAAGACTCCTGTGTCTTCGGGGAAGGCGTGAAAAGCTTCTCGGAAAGGCCGGGGGACTTCTGAGCCTTCTGAGAAGGCCCGCCCCTTCTCACTTCCCCCCTGGGCTCGCCGCCGAGCCTGAGACAGCGGCAGCTCCAAATCGATCTCCAGACCACTCCCAGGGGCCCAAACGCACCAGTTTTTCGCGCCGCGTCCAGCCGCGGTGACGAGGGGCCCCCCGAAGGCCAGCCACCAGTGTCTCAACTGGCCCTCCTCTGCACCGAGAGCGTCGTCGTCGGGCGCCAGCGTCGGGTGCCCGCGCCAGCGGAGGTGCCGGCGACGGCGTTCCGCCACTGACGGGTTCACCCCTGGGCTCGCCGCCGAACCTTGCGCGCGGGTCTCCGACACTGCGCGGGGCGCTCGACCCCGGCGAGCAGGGCTGGACCTGCACGCTGCTCTTGGTTAGTGTCTGCGTGCTGTTGTCTTCGTTTTGCGCTCCCTGCGTTCCTGCACCTTCCCTGCCACAGAGACTCGAGAGAGAGAGAGAGAGCGAGCCGTGCACGTCCAGGGTGCATTGGCAGTCGAAGCCCAGCACAGCAACGTTTAGCCGAAGCCCAGCACGTCCACAAAGCACGGCCGAAGCCCAGCAAAGCACCGTTTCGGTCTCCAGCCCTGTGGGCGAGCACGGCTCTCCGACCGCGCGGCCCGTGGCGGCGTCGATCGACGCCGGGGCGGCTGGCGGCGCTCAACGCCGAGAGCCCGCGCGAGGGATCGCCGCCGCGTCGACGTGGCGCGAGCCAGCCTCGGCCGTGCCAACTTCAGAGGCCCTCCTCCTCCTCCTCCTCCTCCTCCTCCTCCTCCTCCTCCTCCTTCCTCTCCTCCTCCTCCTCCTCCTCCTCCTCCTCCTCCTCCTCCTCCTCCTCCTCCTCCTCCTCCTCCTCAACATCAGGTGGAAGGCGGAGGTGCAAGGGGGGGTTCGGCCCCAGGCTGCGCGCTCTTCGAGGACGAGCGCCTGTGTCACCGTCGTGCGCTCCATCATCCGGGGCCTCGGCATACAAATTCACATACATCCTCATCATCGTCACTGGCATCATCAGCAACACCACCATCAGAAGCATCTCCGCTCTCCTCCCCTCTCCTCCTCCTCCTCCTCCTTCTCCTCCTCCTCCTCCTCCTTCTCCTCCTCCTCCTCCTCCTCCTCCTCCTCCTCCTCCTCCTCCTCCTCCTCCTCCTCCGCCTTGGGCGGCGTGGCGGGTGTCAGGGGTGGCAGGGGAAGCCGCCCGCCTGTTCTTGATGTACAGAAGCCACACCTCGGCATCGTCCTCCGCAGGGGGAGCGAGAGGGAGGGCGGGGGGAGGGGAAGAGAGGGAAAGAGAGGGAGGGAAAGAGAGGGAGGGAGGGAAAGAGAGGGAAAGAGCGAGAGGGAGGGCGGAGGGAGGGCGGGGGGAGGGAAAGAGAGGGATCCCTGGACTGCGTGCGGAAGCCGGTGGCCCGTCGGCAGAGTGCGGCGCTGCAGATAGCAGAATGTCTAAAAAACTGGATGCCTCTGCACGGGCACCAAGAGAGCGCGTTTGCTTTTATTACCTTTGCTGTTGCTTTTGCTTGGCTCCCAGGGGGCCGGGGGAACCGCACGGGGCGCGTTCCACAGCCCGGCCCTTTTAAGCAAACCGAGTAAGAACCCTTCTAGGCAGAGCCTAGGTAGGGAAAAACTGGATACCTCTGCACGGGCACCAAGTGAGCAAGTACAGTAAGCAGTTCAGGTCACGCCAAGGAGCACAGCGTTGCAACGAGAGCGGCGGGCGCGGCCCAGGGTGTGACGCTGGCGAGGCGCCCCTGACCGCAGCAGATCATGAGAGCCGGATGTATCGGGATCAGCCAAGAGGAGGGCGTGCAAGAGGGGGGTGCGCAAATCATGGCCGGCGGCATGTGCGCGGCCCAGGGGGGGGGGCCCGGGACGCATTGAAATGAGCAGAGGCGCCACGGAATCGGGGAGATCTCATGGCCCCCGCCATGATATCCCCCCCCCCTAGTCGTCCCCCCCCTCTTGGCCGCCCCCGACTGTACCTGAGGGGGCCGAGGTATCTTCGGCCCCCGGAGCGGCACGCAGAGGGAGGGGGAGGGGAGGGAGGGGAAAGAGGGGCGGGGGCACGTCGAGGAAGGGAGGGAGGGGTGAGGGGGGCAAGGGGAGCGACGAGGATGAGGGGCAGGAAGAGAGGGGCGCAAAGGGGGGTAGCGCCGTCCTTTTTCTGCCAGTGCCGCTTCCCGTTGTACAGAGTCGCCGCCTGCACGAACTCGCCGTTGGCGTTCTTCTCCGCTTCACCCCTGCCCTCCCTTCACTATCCCCCGCCTCCTCGCCATCGTCCTCGTAAGCATCATGTGCTACATGTCCATCCTCCTCCTCCTCCTCCTCCTCCTCCTCCTCCTCCTCCTCCTCCTCCTCCTCCTCCTCCTCATCATCATCATCATCATCATCATCATCATCATCATCACCACCACCACCACCACCACCACCACCACCACCACCATCATCATCATCATCATCATCATCATCATCATCATCATCATCATCATCATCATCATCATCATCATCATCATCACAAGCATCACCATCATCATCATCATCAACATCATCATCAGCATCATCATCATCATCACGATCGGTGTATCATCACCTGGAACATCATCACCATCACCGCCAATGTAACCATCATCTGCCGCAGCAACAGCATCAGCAGCAGCAGCAACATTATGATCATCATCATCAGCATCAGCATCAGCATCGTCATCATCACCACCACCATCATCATCATCATCAGCAGCATCAGCATCAACATCATCATCATCATCATCATCATCATCATCATCATCATCATCATCATCATCATCATCATCATCATCAGCATCATCATGAACATCATTCCCGTTCTACCTCCCCTCCCCTGCTCCCATCCCCACTCCCTCTGAGTCCTCCCCCCGCCCCTCCCTCCCTCCGCACCCTCTTCACCCTGCACTTCCGCCATCCTCCCCACTTCCCCACTCCCACTCCGTCACATCTTCCTCCCCTGGATCCTGCCCCTCCCCCTCCCGTCCCAGATTCCTCATCCTGTTCCTCCTGACCCTGACGTGAAGTCCTGCAGAAGAGAAAGCCATCCTCCCCCCTTCCCCCGCACTCCTCCACTCTCCCCTTATCCCCTTCATCCACCAGCTCCCCTCCACTCGGTGGCTCGAAGATGGGGTCCTGAAGGACGGGGGCATAACGTCGAGCTGCCTGAGGCAACTTAAATTCAACATTGGATCCGTTCCTATCCTTAGGGCCCCATCCCTCAAGGCCCCATCTTTGAACCGACGATCCGCCCTCATCATCGGCAGCGGAACCTCCAGCCGCAAAGACGCCGCCGCAGCAGAGCACGAGCCAAGCCCGCGCTTCCGGCGGGAGAGAGACTTACGGGACCGTCGTCGTCGTCGTCGTCGTCGTCGTCGTCGTCGTCGTCGTCCACCTTCCATGCCCACGCCTCCGTCCAGAGACGCAGGAGGGAGGAGAGAGGAGAGGATCCTTCCCCCCCCTGCCGACGAGACCCCCTGGCGACGCGCAGCCCACCACCCCCTCCCGACGACGCCGCTGATCGTCACCGCCTGCGCCACGATGCCCTTCACGAGCTGTCCTGGAGGTAGGTTGCGGACGCCGTCGTCGGCACTTCGCGGACAGACACCGGCTTAAGATAACTTTGTCCGCCATCGGGGACGCATGTCCCAGGCCGGCTGGAACAAACACACGCACCAACGCGTGCTGCCACAGAGGCACACACTTCTAGCCGCCCTGTGACAGGCGCCCCCGACGGTGGAAAGGTTTATCGGAAGTCGCTGTCGAGTGCGAAACCGTGGTTGCTTAGGAGCTGCTCTGAATCGCAGGTCGATCGAATCGCCCGCACGACCGTATCGGAACGTCCCCATCCGCTGACGGGGTGGGGTCGCCCCTTGGGGGGTGCAAGGTCGAATCGATCGGTACCGCGCGCCAGACGTCAGCACGCATCGCCGAACCGAACAAATCGTGGACTGAACTTTCGCATAGGGGATCGTCTACATAATTGATTTGTCCCAGAATGTATGCTCTCATCGAATCCACGCGAAAAACATGTAATGATCGTGCATACATGTATGTGCATGTAAATATACGTACCAACACTGTACGTATTTGCTTGTCGACTCAACGAGGAATTGAATTCTGGGACACATCAATTCCGTAATCGATCTCCTGCTCGAACCTTGAAGTCCTTTTCCCTGCCCACTCCAGCGCGCTGCGCGCTGCGCGCCATACACAAGGGCTGCTGTGCGTGCGACCGGCCGCTGGCCGCTTGGTACCGCACGATGCTGCACACGCGCTCTCACGCCACGTCCCCGATCCGTGCGCGGCTCCTCGCCAGACAGAGGAGGCAGACGAACGCGAGAGGGGGTCCAAAGGAGGAGGGAGGATCGAGGATGGAGGAATCAAGGGCCCCGACGGTCGACGAAGCCGCCGCCGAACCACGGAGCTCAGAGGAGCAGCTTCGGGTGCACGACCTCTGGCGCGATTGCCTCACAGCGCCTGAACCTCCCTCGAGACCTGGAAGGTCGGGCGGGAGGGAGGGGCAGACGGCTGTGGGAACCAGTGGGCAGAAAATGGCTCCCCGGTGGAGGAGTGCAGGGGGGGGGGGGGGGAGTCGGGGGTGCCACGTAGGTGCGCAGGGGGGGGGAGTCGGGGGTGCCACGTAGGTGCACGCGGCGGGTGTTCCCTCGAAGACCCTTCGGGAACCAAGGAAGCCTCGCTGAGAGCAATTGCTGCTGCCGACCCTACTGTACAGGACTTCCCCCCCCCCTCCATAGCAAGCTGTGATGGTGACTTGGAGACGCGGCCACGCACCAGACAGGCCCCTCTCAGTGGAACCCCTGCGACAATGCTGACGTGCTGCGTTGCTTCACGTGGGATGCCCTTCTGGCGTTCTCGCCGAATCGAGCGCGGAGAAATTCTGGGAAGAGATCTGCATCTCGGGGACGTCGAGTCGTGAAGCCACTCGGCAGAGCCAGACGGTCTCTCCCGCGGACACGATGCCGGCACAGTCGATAGATGTTGCGATGCCCCGAGATGCGGTAGGCGAACCCGTGGATGCAGTACGCAGGCCTACCGGGAGCTGGTGGTGAACGGGATCCCCCGAAGGGGGCGAAACGTAGACGAGCCGACAGCGAGAGCCAGGGTGCCGGGCGGTCAGAATGCCCCTCCCCCAACAGGGAGGACCACGTGTCGTGGGAGGGTCTTCGTCGCCGCCGCCGCCGTGATGGTCGCCATCGCCGCCGTGGTGGCGGCGCACAGAAGAAGAGCAAGCGGCACAAGCCAAAACCTTCGAAGGTTCGCGCGGGCTCCCTGGATCCACGCCGGCCCTCCCTCCCCAGGGCGGCGATGAGTGCGCCGGTGCGCCCGGGGGCGGCGCGGCGGAGGCGCTGCAGCTGGGGCCCAGTGCCGATCCAGGAGAGCCGCGCGGACTGCCGAAAGTGTATGTTTGCGTAGTTTTTCCCTCCTCGACACAATATACAGAAGGATCCGCCATCAGGGACGTCAGTCCCAGAGCGGCTTGAAACCTAGACCCCCACCTGCTCCTGGAGGGGTGGACACTTCCCAGCCGCCCTGGGGCAGGTGTCCCCGATCGCGGAAGAAGATGTGTAATACAGTGCTTCGTCCGCACACTGGAAAGGAACCAACGACAGAAGCATAAACTGTTGGAGCTCGGCGCGGACTTGGATCTGCGCCGGAGCCCCCACCCTGGCGCGCAGAGAGCGCGCCAGGGGCGGCGCCGAAGGCGCCGCCACGGAGGGGGGCCCAGCGCCGATCCAAGAAATCTGCACGGCGCTCCGAAAGCTCATATCTGAGCTCCAAGCCAATTACACGCCGGTCGGAAGAAGCAGGTAAAAACACACGAAGTGGGAAGGCGGACAAGAAGTCGATGGGGCTCAGGCCCCCCCAGAGAACAACCAGACACAGCAGGAGCATGCCGATGCTCGAAGCAGGAAGGCGCTCGCAGCAGACTTGGGACCTGGGAGCCTGGAAAAACGCCTGCTCTCAGCGACCCGGCGCGCAAAAGCGCACGCCTCTCGCTCGAGAGCGGGGTCACGTCGGCAGCCCAGAGGCCGAGCGGCCCCGCCGCGGAGAAGCGCCCACGGCCCCCCCCCCCGCGCAAGGGAGGCGCGGGGGCGCGGGGGCGGCCGAGGCCCGAAGCCAGGCGCCCGCCCCGCCGCCGCCCCTGGGGGGGGCGGGCCCGAAGGAGGCCTCGGGCGGGGCAGGCGACGACCTGCCAGCTGAGCCGGGGGCCGACCGCCCCGGCAAGACCGATGGGCCGACCACGACGTGTTCTCGGAGCCCCAAGGGCGTTCCGACACCTGGAGGGGACCCAAGGGCGCTCCAGCCCCTGTTCCGAGAACCCCAGTGTTCTCAGAACCACGACAGGCTCAGCCAGAAATGTTCTGAGAACATGTCGTGCAAACCACAAAAGGCTCTTAGAACATTCATTGGTAGGCCTGTAGGCGAGCTATATAGGACGCTTCGCCGCGGCTTGAACCAGACCACCCCGACCCAACCCGAAGACCCGAACCCGCTTCACATGTGTTTTTTCCATGCTCCCCGAACCCCCCCCCACTGAAAAAGGAGGGCAAATCGGGGCCTTCGGGTTGGGTTGGGGTGGTTTGGTGGGCGGTGAGCAGTGGCGCGCGAGGCGCGAGACGGCCCTCGCCGCGCGCCGCGCGAGGCAGAAGTCGGCGCGGAGCATTGGAAAACACGCGCCGCAAAACACACGCACCATCCAACCCGAAAAGCAGCACCCGTCGGACAGAAGAAGTGGGCAGAAGCAGGAGGCAGGAGGGCTTCGGAAGTCGACTGGGCTTCCGCCCGGCCCCCGGAAGAGGAGGGAAGAGGGAGAACCGCTCGGCTCTTGAACAGAAGGAGAGGAAGCGGCATAAGCACAAACTGTTGGCGCTCCGCGCGGATTTCTTGGATCCGCGCGGAGCGCCGAGAGCCTGTGCTTGTGGCGCTCTTCTTCCCCGATCGAGGCAGGAAGGCGGCGAAAGCAGATGGGGATCTGGAACCCCAAAGAGCACCGACTTTCAACGACCGACGGCCACCGTGGTGAGAGTCACCTCCTGGGCCGGTGCACTGGCCGCCCCACCGCCTCGGCGCGCGGAGCGCCGCCTCTCTCCCCCCTCGGAGCCCCGCCGGGGCAGGGCGGCCTCGGGACGGCGGCAGCGCCACCCAGCCTTCCGAGAAGTGCTCCGAGCCTCCCCCGAGGACACGGAAGCCCGGCAGCGCCACCCAGCCTTCCGAGAAGTGCTCCGAGCCTCCCCCGAGGACACGGTAGCCTGCCGAGAAAGCGCGAGGGCTGCTCGGGAGCCCGGCAGCGCCTTCTGAGAAGGCCCGCCGCTTCTCCCTGCCCCCCCGGGCTCGCCGCCGAGACCTGAGACAACGGCAGCTCAAAATCGATCTCCGGACCCCTCTCTCGGGCGGCGAGCGAGGGGGGGAAGCGAGAAGGGGAAGGCCTTCTCAGAAGGCGGCGGGGACTTCTCAGAAGCCTTCGCGACCTCAGAGAAGGTTCATGTGTCTTCGGGGAAGGCGCAACAAAACCTTCTCGGAAGGCAGGGGGACTTCCGAGCCTTCTGAGAGGGCCCGCCCCTTGTCACTTCCCCCCTCGGGCTCGCCGCCGGACCCCTGCCAGGGGTCCAAACGCACCAATTTTTCGAGCTGCCTCCAGCCGTGGCGACGACGGGCCCCCCGCCGAAGGCCAACCACCGTTGCCTCCATTGGCCCTCCTCCGCACCAAGTGCGTCGCCGTCGGGCGCCAGCGTCGGGTGCCCGCGCCAGCGGAGATGCCGGCGACGGCGTTCCGCCACCGACCGATTCACCCCGCCGCCATGCGGAGACGTGCGGCTTCCCGTCGGGTTCCGCGAGGCTGGCGGGGCTGGGACACCGTGACCCAGCGGGGATGGGGATCGGCTACGGCAGCTTCGTGCCGTGACAGGTCTGGCATCGGTTTCTGACACTGCGCGGACCGCTCGACCGCGTCGGCACGACGCGAATCTACCATAAACGATTGAGGGGCAACGGTGGGGTGGGGCTGGCATAGGAGCAGCCTCGGAACGCTCTCGGCGAGGCGCAGCCGCTGTTGAGGCGTCCCGAGGAGAAAGCCGCCGAGGGTCGACGGAAACGACTCTAACCTCGAGCCCCTCCTCCCCAGATCGTTGCCCCTGAACGCTGCTGATCGGCGGCGGCGTTTCGGCGGCGGCGTTTCGGGTGCCGAGAGTCGACGAAAACGACTCTAACCTCGAGCCCCTCCTCCCCAGATCGTTGCCCCTGAGCGCTGCTGATCGGCGGCGGCGTTTCGGGGGCTGCCAGAGGTGCCTCTGGCCCAAGGTGCCCCCAGCTTGTCGCGCCATCGTGGAGCCCCTGGGGCCCTCCGAGCCTCGCGAGGGGCTCTCTGGAGGCAGCGGGGGCCTCCTTGGAAATTCTGGGGGGGCACCTTTGGGCCAGGGGCACTCGGGGATGGACAGGGTCCCCCTGTAGCAAAACGTGGCTTGGTGGAAACGACCTCGGGCCCAAACCTGGCGGGCGCACGCCTAGAAGATGACGGCCGCGGCGCCCTCTCGAGAACCGAGAACGGGCAATTGGCTAATCGACGTGTCAGGGCGGGGGTTCTGCCCGCCCCCGAGGCGGATCTGGGACAAAATCTAAAACATACTCCCCAATGGTCAAAAATGACTCAAAAATGTCCCCCAAATCGTCCCCAGACTATTTCTGACTATTCCTCCTGGACACGCCTGCGAAGCAGCTGGGGGTGTGGAGGCCCTTCCGGCGCTCTGGCAGGACACCATGTCTTCGGCCACGGCGCGGCGTGCCGCAGTCAGCCAGCATTGCGACACCACGCAACAGTGGCTACATGTGCTCCTCGTGCGCTTCGTACTCAGCACTCTGCTTGCCTGCTTCCTCCTGTAGAGTTTGGACGCCCGAAATGGGTACGGAAAGAATGGGTACAATGCCCAACAACAAATGTTGTCCCAAACCAACAGCAGCCGCTGTTGGGCAGGCGGCCTCCTGTCTCGAATGGACACAGGCCGCGGCGGCGTGGACAGCGAGTCCTGTTCAAAATGAACAAGATCCGCTGTTGGGCATTGTACCCATTCTTTCCGTGCCCATCTCGTTCGTGCAGATATAGGGGCATGCCCGACTTGGACGCAGCACCCGAGCGCTCAGCCGCAGGCCGCGCTGCGCGGCCGGCGCGGCGGGCGGCCGTCCTGAGCGGCTCAGCTGCTTCAGCACGGCGCGGGACACCGCCGTGCCGGCCCGCCGGCGCGGCCTGCGGCGGGCCGCCCCCTCCTCGCCCTCGCGCCTCGCCCTCGCGCCTCGCCCTCGCGCCTCGCCGCCTCGCCCTCGCGCCTCGTCCTGCCCCGCGCCCTGCCCTCGCCCTGTCCCCTCGCTCTGTCCCCTCGCTCCGTCTCCTCCACCGGCCCCTCCTCCGCCCCCTCGCGCCTTGCCCTGCCCCTCGCCCTGTCCCCTCGCCCTGTCCCCTCCTCCGTCTCCTCCTCGTCCCCTCCACCGTCCCGTCCTCGGCCCCTCCACCGGCCCCTCCACCGTCCCCCATCCACCGTCCCCTCCTCGGCCCCTCCACCGTCCCCTCCTCACACTTGTCTCGAGCCAGACGCGCGCAGCGGCACGCAAGGCATAGGCTCCCAAGAGAGGGGCGGAGGGAGTGAAGGTAACGACTGCTCCTCTCCCCCGGCCCCCCCCCCCGCTCGCCTCTCCGCCATCCGTTTCAGTTTCCTCCCCCTCTCCCCCCCTGCCCCGCCCCCCCAGGGGATGGCACGTGAGGCCCTCCTCCCGTCCAGACGTACGTATACGCGGAATTCGCCGCGATTACTTATATCGAATCTCCCGCGGCCTCTGGCCCAAAGCTTACAACAAAAACTGAACTGGCCAAGAGCAAACCAAGAAGCAGGTAACTCGCCCAGGCCGAGGTCCTGGATGGCTTGCCTGCCATCCGTCACCGACCTACTCGCGAGATCCGGAACTCCATAAAACCCTCGGCCGGACAAGGGCGGGGGAGGGCGGAGGGGAGGATGCAGCACAACGTTTGTTCATGTTTCGCGATAGCGGCCGTTACCGGCCCCAGCCTCCCCCCCTCATGGTGTCGTCACGACTCGTGCCGTCGAAATCTGGGAATGCTTAGGAATAGCCAACAGAGCTCCGACAGCAGATGCCTGCCCGGATCTGCTATGGCTGAGCGCGCACCAGGCTATGGATATGCAGAGACCTGCGATGGATAGCGACGGATAGCACAGCGCAGCGCGAAGGACTCGTATGAGTAGGGTGCGGTGGTGTTTCGTCCTCTCCCTTACCTCCTCCGTTCCCTCCTCCGCTCCCCCCTCGACCTCTTCCCTCCTCCGTTCCCTCCTCCGCTCCCCCTCGTCCTCTCGTCGTCATCGCCGTCCTCCCCACTGCATTGCAGAGTGCTTCACACCACGACAACTGAACGAAGGAGGGAACCGAAGGGAAGGAGTGGGCGAGAAAGGCGGGGCCAAGCCGAAACGATCTGCTTGATTCTGCTTCTGTTATCGATTCGTGTTCTGGGAGGGGTGTCGCCGTCCCTGGGCCCGAGGGGATAAGTGGCCTCGTCGTCATCGTCCTCGCTTGTCCTCTTCCTAATATGATTCCCCTTGCCCTCCTGTTCCTCCTACTTGCGCTGCTAACCATTTCACTTCACAACCACGTGCGCGCCACATCGATGGGGCGCACTGGGGTCGTGCGGAATGGCTCAAGTGAGCCCGTGAGGTGCACGTGGACCCCTTCCAACTATACCTTGCCAACAGCGCCGCGCTGCGTCTTCTTTTTGGGGGGGATGATCGGACCACGACCGAGAAAATCAAGCTGGGTGTATACATCGAGGCTGGACACGCTCGCGGTTCGAACCACGTGCGGAGCTTGCGGGGGCCAGCTGCCGGATGCACGTGCGGGTGGCTGGCAGACTCAGCCACGCGAAGGCCGAACGCTGGCAAGACGTGCGGCGACATGCGTGCCCGACTCTCTCGCCCAAGCTGCCCACGTCATGTGCATACGGCTCCCTGGCATGAGACACACGGGAGCAGTGTCCCGTTGTGTTGGGCTCGATTTCCCCGGCGAGGCAGGAATAGAAAGGACACGCCCAACTCTCGCGCCCAAGCTGCCCACGTCACGTGCATACGGCTCCCCGACACGAGACACACGCGCAGGCAGCGCTTCCAGACTTGGGGGCAGAGGGGGGCCCTTCTGCGGGAACGAACGAACGCGGAACTCCACGCAGTGGCCAGAAGTTCTGTGCCTGCGGGAGCCGTGTCCCGCCGTGTTGGGCTCGATGTCCCCCGTCATGTGTATACGGCTCCCTGGCACGAGACGGGAGCCGTGTCCCGCCGTGTTGGGCTCGATGTCCCCCGCGAGGAAGGAACATATGAAGGACACGCCGCCCGGCGCCGGCAGAGCCGCAGATTGCGCACCGGCGAGCACTTGACTGCAGTGGCCCCCGAGCACCACAGCGGGTCCGGCTGGAAACGTCAGCGACACGCGAACAGCGAGGGGAGGAGGAGGAGGAGGAGGAGGAGGAGGAGGAGGAGGAGGAGGAGGAGGACAACAACGACGAGGCCACTTCCCGTCTCGGGGCCAGGATGGCCCAGACTCCTCCCAAACACGAACCTCGGCCTGGAGGGATGGGACGAAAGGGGAGCAGGAGGGCAAGAGGAATCATATTAGGAAGAGGACAAGCGAGGACGATGACGACGAGGCTACTTACCCCCTCGGGCCCAGGGACGGCCAGACCCCTCCGAGAACACGAATCGATAACAGAAGCAGAATCAAGCAGATCGTTTCGGCTTGGCCCCGCCTTTCTCGCCCACTCCTTCCCTTCGGTTCCCTCCTTCGTTCAGTTGTCGTGGTGTGAAGCACTCTGCAATGCAGTGGGGAGGACGGCGATGACGACGAGAGGACGAGGCGGGAGCGGAGGACGGAACGGAGGAGGGAGGAGGATCGCCCAGACTCCTCCCAGAACACGAACCGACAACAGGAGTGTAGTCAAACAGGTCGTTTCGGTCTGGCCCCACTGCCCTCGCCCGCCCCTCCTCCCAACTCCCTCCTCCGTTCTTGTCCTGGAGCAAAGCGCCTTGCAACACAATACAGAGGATGAGGACGACGAGAGGAATACGACGACGACGACGACGACGACGACGACGACGACGACGACGACGACGACGACGACGACGACGACGACGACGACGACGGGGGGAAAGACAAGGAAGAGGGATGAGAGAGGAGGAGGAGGAGGAAACGCAGGAAGAGGATGAGAAGGAGAACAGAGGCGTATTGCAGTAGCAGATCCCTACTTTGTTTGCACGCTTTGCATAACAGACCCTTTTAAATAGGCATCTGCTGTCCGAACTGTCCCTGGCCATTCCTAGGCATTCCCAGACGCTGCCGGCGCGAAGCGTGACGTTACTGGCCACCTCCCCCCCAATAACGCCCGTCATGAGATGATTGGTTGTCCTTTTCCCCCTATCCCGTCCCCCGGGGTGCAAAATCCGGTTAGAGGGATGGCGGCCCGGAGGGGAAGGGCCCCTGGGTTCCTCAACGCTCCCCCGGGGCCTCTGGAACCTCAACTTCAACACTCAGCGGCGTTCGACGAATTCCCCAAACATTGAGTCAAGCTTGCTCAAGCTGGGATTGAGCACGCCAAGAAGACCTTAAAAAACAGCCGAAATAACTTCAAAACGGCCCAATAAGCTTCCAAGGCGCCCCCTGACAGCACCAAACGGACCCCCACGAGGGCCCCAAGAGGTGGTCAAAGTCGCCCCGGGTCCTAGAGAAATTGAATGTTTAGCGTACGAATTCGCCCTGCTGGTTTCGACCGCGATGAAAGCCCCCCCCCAAAAAAAAAACAAGATCGCTCCACCATGGCCAAAGAAGTCCTCGAGAGGCCCCCGAGCGGCCCAAGGGAACCCCCACATGGCCCAAGGGGTGGCCTTGACGGCTTGAGAGGCCCCAGAAAGGGGCCCAACTGCGAGAGTTCGAAGTGACACGTCGAACCCTCCGCGCCAAAAGACATTCCCAAGAGGCCCCAGGAGACCCCCGAAAAACCTCCCCAAACGCCCCAATGGGCTCCTCGGGCGGCTCCCGAGAAGCAGAGGGCCTCACCCGTGGTAGGATGGCGTAAGCCACTGTCCAGACCGGAAGGAGGGCCCAGCGATCCACGAAGGACCCCGGAAGAGGGACCAGAAGGCGGGCGACCACCTGCGCGGGGTGGGCCAGAAGGCCTGGAGAGGCCTGGGGCCGCGCGCGAGCCTTCGGAGCTGGCGCGGCAGCTTCGGCAAGGCGCTGCAGGAGGGGAGTTTTTTGGAGGAGCGGAAAAAACCAAACCCGTCCGACCTCCGCGCGTGTTCCTCGGGTGCGCGCTGAACTCCGACAACAGTTTGTCTTGATGCCGTCCGTGTTCATGTTTCCTCGAAAGAGCCCTGACGGGGAAGCACCTTGAGGAAGGGCACGTCGACCTCATAGCCGCGACGACGGCGACGACGGCGACGACGACGACGACGAAAACGACGACGACGACGTTGACGATGACGACGACGACGACGACGACGGCGACGGCGGCGACGACGACGTCTGACCGACCGACCGACCGACCGGCCAGCTCCGGCCGGTCGGTTGGCCAACGACGACGATGCCGACGCCGACGCGTGATAACCGACGAAAGACGAAAACCGACCACGACCGACGACGACCAACGGCGAGGACCGACTGCGACGACAGGGACGACGACGACCTCGACGACCTCGGCGACGACGGCGACGACTCGGAGGCCAAAAACAAACATTTGACTGGAATGCCGCACCCAATCCAGAGTGCTGGCCGACGCTAAACGGCGAGCCCGGGAGGAAGTCGGAAGGGGCGGGCCTACTCGGGATGCTCGGACGGTTTCCAGCCTTCTGAACATTTTTGCAAGCGTATTCCGAAGACGCAGGCGGCTTCTCAGAAGGCCAAAAGGATTCTGAGAAAACCCGCCGCCTTCTGAGAAGGCCTGTCCCCCCCCCCATTCCACCCAGGAGCGCCGCCGAGATGCTCTCAGTTCAACCCGAAGCGTTAACCCCACCGCAAAGTGAATCCGAATAATAAGGATGCGCGATAAGGATGCACATGCCTTGGAAGGCCACATCGACACTTCGCGAGCGGGGCGCGGCCAGCGAAAACGGCCAAGGATGGGCCGAAGGGGAAGGATGCACGGGTAGCCTTGGGCAGTCGCTCGCCCTTCCTGTGCGGGTTGATTGTATGCGGCCAGCG